TTTATTGTCTTACTGTCTACACAGGGCAGAAACTTTCCCTCCCCTCCATTTTGTTCCCTGACATATCTCAGAACCTGGAGAAGTCACTGGCATTTGGTAGGTGCTCCATAAATATTTATTGAACAAATATTTATTTCTTCAATAAATATTTATGGAGCACCTACCAAATGCCTGGTGAATGAATGAGTGAATGCATGAATTTGGGAATCTTTAGCAAGTTGATTGCAGTAGAATACGTAGGTGAGATTACCCAGACATAGTCTGTAGAGCAATGATGAATGGAGATGCCAACATGCCAATGTTTAGGTGTGAGCAGAGGAAGAGAAGATTATAAAGGACATTGACAAGAACTCAAACTAAAGGATGTGTCACCCAAGACAAGAAGTAAGATGGCAGAGGGAGTGCAGACAACAGCATACAACCTGGCCAACATGGTGAAATGCCGTCTCTTAAAAAAAAAAAAAAATTAGCGGGGCGTGGTGGTGCACGCCTGTTGCCAACATATGAAGCAAAATAAAGGCAGAAACGTGTCTGCTGATTTGAAAGTGGGCAAGTAACTAGCTGTTTCGAGGAATAGTTAGGGCAGAAAGGAGAGTACTATGAGTTGAGGAGTGAATGAGAAGTAATGAAGTGGAAATGGTGTCTGCATTACTATTTTGAAGAGTTTGGTCATAAGGATCAGAACGAGAAGGCATGGGAGCTGGGAAGAGGCCTCCGAGCGAAGAAGTGCTTGTGTGTGCAGTTAGATGGGAGAGATAAGCCTAATTTGAGCATTTTAAATGATGTATGAAAAGAGCCAGTAACAACCATATAATTTATAACCCACATCAGGGTTTTGAGAGAAAAAGGGGGCAGGACAATGTGGATAAATGTCAAGACAACAGGAACTATCTGCAAACCAGACCATATGGTCATACCTGAAGTTTTCCGTGCAAGTCATTTCTCCTTACACTTAGTGGGCTATTTTTTTCTGACGGTAGGTGGCAGTAAAGAGCTTGCCTCTTTTGTTTTTTGTTTTTAAGAAAAATTTAATTAGAGATTTTGGATGGCAACTAAGATTGATAAAGGTTAGTGCCACAGGCTTAAACTCAAAATAAGGGATTTCAACTTAGAATTTACTTTGGGAAAATTCATATGGGTTTTTATGAAAAAGTATCTCTTGGTTCTCAAAGAAAAAATAATGTTTGAGTAATTATAAAATATGTTGCATTTTCAAACTGAGTCATTTATCTTTAAAATGATGAACTCTGTCTTCTTCCTAATACAGAATAATTTCCATTAATTTTATCACTTCACTTTTTTTTTTTTTTTT